ACTTTATTGTAAATCAAATGAAACAAAGAAGATTATTGTATGAACAAAATTAATAGAAAATGCAATTTTTAAAAAGGGTTACACAATTCTAACGGAGAATCGATAAACTGCTTAAAAGTATGTTTCAATGCGTTTTGTCAGAAATGAATCGTATCAAATTTTCTATAAGACATCGATGAATGAGAATGACAATTTGAAAATCCTGAATTTATTACCACATCGGGGGTAGATCAAAAAAAGTTCGACAATATTATATTGACATCACTGTATGAAAATATCGGACAAATTAAAACAGTAAAATTCAAGGAGATAATTGACCTACTACGACATATACCAACGGAATATCACGATATCTTCAAATCCCTTTCACACAAGCAAAATGTAAATGAGCAGTAAATTGTTTTGTAATTGATGTAGTTAACAAATCTTATGAATCGCATTAATTATGTTTTTGTAGTGTTTTAAAGATATGTAAAATAAATTGAGTATTGTTTTTTTTCAATTTGAAGCATATTTAACCCTTTCACTACTACGGGTGACTATAGTCACCCGCCACAAAACGACACCCGCACACGACGGATGACTATAGTCACCCGTCACACGATGCTACCTATACGCGACGGGTGACTATAGTCATAGACTATAGTCACATAATTATGAACACAAATCATTTTGTTTCTAAAAGTAATGTCACAAAGTCGTTTTTGTGACAAAAGGCTCCGAATGCTAAAGACTGCGCGCGCTTAATGTTCCCACTTTCGGTACGGCGCTCCGTTCTAGACGAGGTACTTCGCGGCGAGGCCCACCGTAGCGAAAGGGTTAATTATGCTGAATGGACTTGGGGGGCTCCTTTAAATTCTGTAATGAATCTGGTTGTTAATTTGGAAAGTCACCTAAATCCATTCTTACTAAGAAAACACATATTATTCATTTAATAAAATTGTCAGTATTTTAATAGGAACTATAAATTTAACATCCTTCAATATCTTGATTCGAACATAAATGGGCTTAGGCTACTTTCAAAATAAACGGCTCAAATACGTTCATTCAAATATACACTTAAAATTATGTTTCACGTGGTTATGATTTGTGTAATTGTCAAATCATATAATATATATATATATATTATTTATCAATCGTTTGTTAAATAAACATCTTACATCATAAATACCCTTTTTTTCTTTTATTTAGTCTGGCAAACGAAGAGAAAGCTTGATAAAAAAAAAAAGAACATAATATTAGTAATAATAATAATCAAAATAAAACCTAGAGGAATGAACTTATAGTTTATCTCGCAATGTATTAAACATTATCAGCATGATGTTTCTCTTTTTAACAACTTTGATATAAATTATGTTTGTGACAATAATAAATATGAACGGATAACCAATGTATGTGAATAAATTATAGTACACAAAATATAATTAAATCACACGAGCAAATCCCTTTGCATATCTATACGTACGTACACATACTTTTTCTTCCTTTTTTTTTTTTATTCATACACATAACAAATATTTATATATGTATATATAAATATAATCGTTATTATAGTTACATATATATATATATAGATATATACATAACTATAAAAGTCTAATGCAATTCGATATGCACGTAGAGTCGGCAGTATTGAATCAACGATTTCTCTTTTGCCTTGATTTAACAAAACAAAAAACAAAATATATATATATATATATATATTATTTATTTATTTATAAATCAAGTTTTATGGAATGATTTATCCTAATAAATGGAACGTCAAATGTAGCAAAATTATTTTATCTAACACAAGTTCAGACAATACCAAAATAATAAATAAATAATTATAATAATAATAATGAGAATAATAATAATAATAATAATAATAATCATATATATAAAGAAGAAGAAGAAGAAGAATAATTGATAACACAAAATAACGTATTTAGCATATCCTTAATAACAAAACAAAAAAATAAAAGAAAACCCGTTTAGAAGAGAGAAGAAGAGAGAAAAAAAGATTTAGGTTATGTTTATAAATTTACATGAAACGTTTAAAAATAAAACGCAGTATATTTTAAACAATCACATGTTAGAAGAAATTGATTAAAAAAAAAAAAAAAAAGATCTAAGCAATCTTTTTTTGTAACATTCATACTCATATATTCTTTGATGTAATTGATGAATTGTAATAGTTCATGATGTACCACCATTATTACCCCCACCACTACTACCACCACCATTATTCGACGTAGTTGTTTGCTTCGATTTCAATTTGCGTCCAAGTAATCTTCGGAACGAAGATGTCCACTTGGAACGTGTAAATCCTCCCCCACTCGACGTACCACCCTGATCATCCGGTTCGCTACTGCTGAACGATTCGCTGATTTTTCTGCTTTTGCTACCGGTGCTACTGCTGGTACTGCTGCAACCATTTTCGAAACACCGTGATCTACGGTCTCCAATTTCCGATGAGAACCTAGAAACGTCCGTCTAGTTTTTTAACCATCTACTTTGTATTTGTGTAAATCATCATTGAGATAATTATGATAATAGAAATATTGGGTTATATAATAAATACCCTGAATCCGAAGAAAATGCTCGATTAGTGGGTGGTACATTTGAATTAGCTGATGACAATGACATCTCAGCAACAAGGGTACTTGGATAGGCCTCATCATCTGAAGCACTGTTACTACTACTGTTACTTGTAGTACTTCTACTGGTGGTACTTTCGGTACTACCACCATTACTACTATCAACACTTGAGTCATCGATGTAAGTAATTTCTCTTTCGGCCAATGGTGAACTTGTTCTAGGTGTACGCGATGAACCACTACCACCACCACCAGCACCACCGGTACATGCTGAACTAGTAGTACACGTTGTTGAACTTGGTCTCAACCAAGTACGCAAATCTTGTAAGGGCGCTTGAAGGCACTTGAAGAGATTACCACTGAAATAATAATCAATAAATATATATTAGATTGGTGCATATGAAATGTCGTTCTTTTTTTTTTTTACATGCTAACAATTCTCTCCCTGTTTTCATTATGCTTTTGTTTTTGACATAACCAATGTCAGAGTTTGTTGATTCTAAAGATCAGAATTTTTTTTTAGGAAATGGCATTTATGGTTTAAAGAACTCTTGTTGGGAAAAGTGTATTGAAACGAATGGAACATATTTTGATGAAATAAACAACTGTTGTATAAAAAGATATGTAGTGTTATTTATCATTCACTTAAAAATCCGACATTTTATATGTACCAACTTAATATACAACAAATCAATTCTATGCGAATAGTAAATATGAAAAATATTCAAGATCATAGATCAAACTTACTCATCTTGAAAATCATCAACCTCAGCGAATGTACGTTGAGCGTAAAGACAAATTGAACATCTTCTACGACGACGGCAAGATGTGGCATGAAGTGTCGCTGCTCTAAGATGTCTTGCAGCATGTCTCAACGTTATTGTTTCACGCGTAAGAGCTGCTACACCTTCTTCTCTTCGACGTCTTTCAATACCTAATTCGTCCTCACCTATACGTAACTTTTCTTTCAACGTTTTGTTCTATTAACAGACAATAAAATATTCATACATTTTTATTTGGTTATCCCTAAAGTATATAAAATATATACTTTGTATTTGTCTATAATAATAATAATAATTAGAAAAGAATCTTTTTTTTTTATAAACTGTATAAGCAGGTTATGTTAACAAAAAAATTGATTCCTATTTTTGTTTACGTCAAAAAATGGTTTCATTTTTGTATTGTTAAATATATTTCATTAACTTCTTGTCCTACTTGCTAACTCCCGATTGCTCGATCAATAAAAATAATAATAACAAGTTTGGTTTATTTGCCGCATTTGACCCAAATTTCTTACCACGAGTTTAACTCGTTGTTGTAAAACAAAGGGTTCTTTTATAATAAATATAAAAGAAAAAGAATTCAAAGCTCTAGGAAGGTAGAAAAAATTGGTAAACACATATATGCGTCCATAGTTACGGCAAATTGGTTTTAGTTTGGTGCATATATGAGTCTACAATTAACTCAGATGACTTTAACTGATGCTATGCGTCCATATTTCAAACAGACGACCTTTACTTGGCGCATATATGCGCCCACGGTTCAGACGACCTTTACTGGGCGCATATATGCGCTCGCATTTTAAACATGCGATCTTGGCTGGGCGCATATATGCGCTCGCATTTTAAACATGCGACCTTGGCTGGGCGCATATATGCGTCCATATCATTTAAAGGGTTAAAAGATTCCTACTATACCGATAGAACATATTTTTCATTTTTTTTTTCATTCTTGTGCGATTAATTTTGTGAAATATCTTGTTTTGAATGACTCTCAAAAATAAAAATAAAATAAAACGAAAAATGTTGATAAATATAAAATTAGTATTGAATCGTCATGGATTAGTTTCCATACTTCTCTCTCAAGTGCATCTCGTTCAGCCCGAATGACGGTGGCCTGTCTTATGACGTCCTGCCGTGCCCGTTCGAGTGATTGTCTGGTTGCTTCGTTATGCGCCAACTGAAGTTGCAATCTTCTTAATGCCGTTTCGCGCTGTTGATCCAAACGATCGCGAGCAGCTATATAGTTGTCACGCTCCACCTTCGCACGTTCGACTTCTTCCTCCAATCGAAGTGTTCGTTCCAATTGTAAGAAAAGATCGTCCTCTTTACCTCTTAATTCAGATTCACAACCTTCCAATCTCATCTCCAAAAAACGACGTGCCTTTTCAAGTTTATCCCTTTCAGCCTAAGAACAAAACAAACAAACAAACGAAGAATTTTTATTAAACGTTTTCATTGATTTATTTATTAATAATAATCATCAATTTATATTTGTTATACTAATTAATGAATATTTAAGATAATGATTAGAAAAAGGGCAACATAGTTTTTAGATTTAGATTCTGATTTGACTCATTTAACACTTGACCCCCAACCCCACTAAGAATATTGTTGCTTGATTAAATTATATAATAATTATATTCCAATAGTATTAGGATCTCTGGCAGAGGCGTGACGTAACAATTTGACCTATTAAATCTAATTTGTAATTTAACCACCAGATAGCATATTCAAGTGATAGAGATCCTACGTGACGTAGCAATTTGACCTATCTACTCTAATTTTGAATTTAGCTACCAGATAGCGTATTCAAGTGCTAAAAATCCTAATAATAATTTTATGAACAGGGCGAACTATAAATTTAAATAAGGTGTTACAATTTAAAAAAAAAAAAATGTATCCTCCATTTAAATGAAATCAATCAGAAAAAGTTTTCATCTAAATTGATTAAAATTTGATTGAAATTTAATATTACAAAGTCAGAATAATTTTCTTTTGTTAAAACAATAATTATTACTGTTAGTCTAAATAGTAATTTAGTAATTAATTTAGAAATTTATAAAAAAAAAAAAAAAGGATTTGTTCTTTTTTATCCTTCTTTAATTATATTTAAATCATAACCTATAAAACCTTATCTCGGTTATCAGATTTTTACATTGATGATTCTCACTAATATAAATTGTAAGTGGTTTCGATAAATATTCAACAAAATTGTTCAATATTGTAAGAATAATTTATTATTTATTAGAAATTATTTATTTTTTATTAATGAGTACTATAAATATATGAAATTAATTAATTATTATTACTAACATATTTTTATTTGTAAGTTACTTCCCACGTGACCTACAATGACCAATAAGGATTAATATTTTCTAAATGATAACAATCCTTTTTAGTTTGTAACAATAAAGAACGACGACCTTAACCTGCTTGCGTATACACCTAACTGACCTACAATCAACTGTATAAAGCTAGACATTGATTGCGTCAAACTCGAGAAAGAAAGAAAGAAAGAAAAAAAAAATAAATAAAGAGAAGAAGGAGGAAGTACGTCTGTACCATTCTCGATTACTGTTAAAGAGATTATCTTTTAAAAGATGCGTGCGTAGGTCTCTTGTGACCGTCAATTACAAATAAACAAGGTTATTTGCATAATGAAAGATTAACTTAGCTGTATATATTCCTTTCAATAACGGTTCTTATTGTCTATCTAAACATGGCTCTTAAGAAAAACAGATTAAATCATTTAAACTACTTCAATATATATATATTTAAGTTATTATTATAATATTACAATATATATATATAAATATTAATATATTAATTTATGATTAATATATTATAATATAATAAATGTGAGGTTATATTTATAATAATAATTTATAATTAATGTATTGTAATATAATAAATGTTAGGTTATATTTATATATATATCACATAGGTTATATTATATTATAGGTTATATATATTATATTTATATATATTATAGGTTATATATATTATATTTATATATATTATAGGTTATATAATTATATATTTATATAGATCATTATAGGTTATATTATATATATATATATATATATCACTGAAATTTCAAGAATAAGAGATTGTATTGTATATTTTTTTACATATATTATTTAAAAAATTATTTTAATCGTATTCTTTTTTTGTCATGCTAATTACCTTGGGCTTATTCAAATTTTATTTACTGTATTTCAATTTTCTACTGTTTCATATAATTCAAGCAAACAAACATATTATTTAGGGTGGGATGGTGGGGGTAAATGAGTCAAATTCAAAACAATATGATGATGCTTTTTGTAATCGTTTTCTTAAGTATCCTCATTAATTTGTATGAAAAATATAATAATTATAATTATTATTAGAGTGAATCAAAAGTTCGTGAGTTTATTATGTTGAAACTTTACTTTGAAATTGCATAACGTATTATTTTGAATTAATATTTAACTGTTAAAACAAAACTATGTATTTGTTTTGAAATTGCATTAATGTATTGTAAAATTTACTTTAGAAATATTAATTAAACAAAACACGAACATTTTTGGTTCATCCTAATAATAATAATAATAATAATAATAAAAATAAATCAATGAAACATTTAATAAAAAAATAACAAATTATTTGTTTACAATAGTATTTTACATTTCTTGCTAAATGGGTGAGTGTAACCTGTTCATAAAATTGCTATATTCATCAAATATTTAACAAAATGTAAGAAAATTTGATTATAAAATTAGAATAACTGGAGAAATCGGTGAATAGAGAAGAAAAAGCAAAAGAAGAAAAAGAAGAAGAAGAAGAAGAAGAAGATGAAGTTAGGAAAGCCAAAGAAAAGAGTTAAAATGATGGTGTTGAAGGAAGGGACGAACCAGTCTGGCAAGATGAAAAGTAGATTAAGGCGAGACCTCTCTTTCTCTTTCTTATTTTCTTTACTCTGTTCCTTCCTTCGTCTTATGTTTAGTTAGTGGACTGTAGAAAAGAGCATTCGTATGGCTTACACACCTCTTTACTTATACATATATATATATAAAGGTTTGAGAAGGAAGAAAACACTTCTCACTGTAAACCCTGATACATGCATTTTAAGTATTATACTCTCTCATGAGAGAATATAAACCGTGACAAGGACATATCAATAAATAAATTCAAGAAAAAGAGAAGAATATTCTATTATATATATATTGATAACTAGAAACTTTCCTTTTATATGTAAAAAAAGGTTATGATACTTTTTCAAATATTAATCTAAATTTAATAATACTGTTAGAATATTATTTTAGTTTTATATATGATATACAAAGATTCAAATATTGATATATTAATTGATGATTCTTTAATGCATTTTAATAAATTAATAATTTATATATAATAAATAATAATATATATAAATTACGTGTCACGTTGTTTGTTCGCAATGGACTCCTAAACTACTTAACCGATTTTAATAAAATTTTGCACACTGTATGCAGTTTCATCCAACTTGAAAGATAGGATAGGTTTATATCTCAATTTATAATCGCAATATTATTTTATTGCGAATTATTTGTTTATAAGATAAGATTCTAACAGATGGCGGTTATAAGGTAATTCGTTGACTTAAAGATGTGTGTATCGGACTGATTTTATAATAATACAAGAATAATAAAAAGAATAATATTAATAATAGTACAATTACAATATTACGATATTATACTATTATAATATATTAAAAATATATTATATTAGATTAGCAACCAAAATAATTGCGAATTTTGTTGATAGATGGCTTTTAAAATCAACAATCACTTACAATTAATTGCCAATCTAATATAAATAATATATTACATCAAAAACAGAGTCATACTAGTTCCAATTTCTCTGATATCTCTTTCTACAAAGAAAAAATAAAAATAAAACAGTAGTTGAATGGTTAGATAAGTAAAAATATAAAATATAACACAAGTCACCCTGTATACTTTTATTTTAGAAGATGCATTCGATTTGCACTTAGAAAATATATTATATTAACATATATATTATATTAATTAACAAGATATTATATAAAGATTTTTAATATTAGAAATAATAATGGAGATAATAATAATAATAATAAAAATATTATTATTAATAATAATGATAATAATAATAGTCGGTAAAGAACTTTCGACTTCACAATGCCAATTAATAATATTAATATTAATAATAATAATAGTCGGTAAAGAGCTGTCGACTTTGTAATGCCAATTAATAATAATAATAACAATAATAATAATAGTCGGTAAAGACCTTTCGACTTTTTAATGCCAATTAATAATAATAATAATAATAATAGTAAAATCATAATATTATACTTTTATATTATATTATATTGAAAATATATTATATTGTATTATAATAGATTAGCAACTAAAGTGATTACGAAATTTGTCGATAGATGGCTTTTGAAATCTGCAATCACTTACAATCAGTTGCCAATGAAATTTTATATAAATAATATATTGTACAAATATATTATTATATCAAACATAGAATGAAACTAGTCCCAGCCAATTAATAATAATAATAATAATAATAATAATAATAATAATAATAGTACAATCGTAATATTATACTATTACATTATATTATAATGAAAATATATTATATTGTATTATATTATAATAGATTAGCATAACTAAAGTGATTACGAAATTTGTCGATAGATGGCCTTTAAAATCTGCAATCACTTAGAATCAGTTGCCAATGAAATTTTATATAAATAATATATTGTACAAATATAATATTATATCAAACATAGAATGACACCAGTTCCAATTTCTCTTAGATTTCTTATCTACAAAGAAAAAAAAAAAAGGAATAAAGCAGTGTTCAAATGGTTAGATAAGTAAAGCATTAAATCTGTAGTTTGAGTAAAAGCATAAAATATAACACAAGTCACCTTGTATATTCTGTATTTAGATGATCCATTCGATATGCAAATAGAAAAAATGGGTTTATCGTCTTAATTTATTATCACATCAGTAAAGTAGAGATTGCAATAGCTTGCCAACTTCCTGAATTGGTTTTTTTTTACCTCCTCCTTTTCCTTCTCCTCCTCCACCACCTTCATTTGAACTTTTCAAAGAGTTTCTTCCCTCTCCATCACCTTCATCACCATTTCTAACTCCTTTTCCACCACCTTTTTATCATGAACGATCATTTATTCGTTCTTTCGTTGATCGTACGTAGAGTTCTTCTTGTGTTCCCCTTTTATAGAGCTAAAAGAAAGGAATTTCTTCCTGCACAAGCTAATGCACCGTGCTGTTAATTGGCAAATTTACGGAGAAACTACTTCTCAACGAGGAAAATGGATCTCCCCACTTGTGCTTATCTCAATCCCGATAAGGTTTAAATAAAAACATT